AAAAAAAAAAAACAAACAAACAAACAAAACGAGCCCTTCCACAACAGAAACATCGAGCCGAAACAGCAGATAAACAATCAATTTCAAGGAAAGATTCGAAGGCCCAGGAACCGTAACGGAAATTGCAGAATCGCCTAGTTGAAGCCGAAACCAAGCCCAGAACCAAACTCGAAATCTTTTGTCCCCAGCCGGAGGAAATCAAACACCGTCTCACCCAGCTAACACCACTAACCGAGACCAGCACAACCCCACTCTGCTAACATCACTAGCCGCGTACAGAAGCATTAGTTCCCCCGAACCCAACAACAGAGAACTTGGGAGAGGAGAGTGGTTCGGCACCTCCGCTCCGACGCGACGCGCCACGAGCCGCATGAGCCTCGTCCTGCCCCTTAACCCACACTCCACCCAACGCTGCTACAAAATCGAGAAGCCAACGACTGGAGCCCGCAAGACTGCACTTGAAGATGAAAGGTTCGTCCGGACCGCAGCAACCGCCATCGTAGGACCTCAGGAGGCACGCAATTTCAGAGAGCTGAGAGACGAGCAGTGGAGGGCGACCACTAGCCGGACTCCCTATTCAGCCGAGCAAAACGACAGGAAGATGAAATTAGAAAAGACGGTGCCGGCGATTATACAAAGATTTATCTTAAGATATGTATTATACAAAGAAATAAAATATATTTTGTTTTTATAATAAAATCATCTCAATCACTTCAACAAAACTTGGGTAATGATGAGATATATAAAATACAGAGCTCAATATCTTATGCTTCCAATAAAGAGATAATGGAATATGGAGATGTATAAAATACAGACTCAATATCTTATGTTTCAAAAAAAGAAATATGAAAATATATAAAATACGGACTCAATATTATATGCGAAGGGGATATATAAAATATGGAACTCAATATCACTACAAGAAAATTAAATTGCATTTCGCGACGCTTATTTTTTTGTTTAGTGATGCTTATTGACGAGTTGTGTTGCTAAATTTGATATCAGAAAAAAATAAGCATCAGTAAACAAAAAAATAAGCGTCGCCAAATGCAGTTTTTCTTGTAGTGATGCGGTAACTAGAATTTTATAAATACTATTAACAAATTTGGTAGCTTCAGATGAGAATTAAAAAAAAGATTTATACATTTTGTAAATACCTAAAAACAAATTTTATAAATACTATTTACAATATGTATAATTTGGTTCAAAATTATGGGAAATGCTACAGTCCTGTTACGGAACCATTTCATCGAGATGTGTAATCGTTAGATTATCATGTAACCGTCGGAGATAATTAATCTAACGGTCACAAACTCCAACGAAATAGTTCTGTAACGGGACCGTAACATTACTCCAAAATTATTTCAATATACGAACTCAACATGTATTATTTCATTGGAAAACATTTTTTAATCCCAATTTCGTAATTAGTAGAAAAGTAAAATATTAACACCTGTGAATTTTCTAATTTGTTAATTATGTTTAATCTTTATAGATTCATACATAAATTACACATATCCCATTTGATTTGTCTACCGATATATACATATAGTTTTTTTTTTTTTAAACGTTATGGCATCAAAATTATTGATAAAGCACGTTTGAATTTTCTATATTTATAATTATTTTTAATCTTCATATATTCTAATTTATTTACAAAAACCCCATTTTGATGTCTTATTTAAAATACGGTTCTAAATTTAATATTTCAGGCGTCGTTTCGCTTTACAGTTTACACACTTTAAACTTCCCACAGAAACACTACAAGCTTAAAATCGTTTCATCAACGGTTGCAAAATATTTTTATTTAATTTATTTTAAAATCAAGGAACAACAACAACAACAACAACAACAACAACAGATGATCAAAATCCCAAAAAAAAAAAAAAAATAATAATAATAATAAAATACTTTTTATTAATTTTATTAATTTACACAATTTGACATATATAATCAAATAAAATCTGGTGAACTTAAATTACAAAGTTTTTATAATATCATCACAGGTAATTTAGAATAATTGTTGAATTCTAATAATTTTCCTTTATTGTACCAAAAAAAAAAAAAAAAAAAAAATTCTAATAATTTGACTCGATCGCTATCACCTGGTTCGAATAATATTGGCACCACGACAAACAGAAACTAATAATTAAACAAAAATATATTGATCTTATTATATATATATATATTTCATAACCTAAAACCACACAATAACATATAGCAGAGTATAATATGATGATCATCATTCCGGCCGTAAAATATTTCCTACAAATTAAGTGAAAGGATAGCGCAGCTCTATGAACCATTAGTATTCAGGCACGCACGCACGCAGGCGTGTATATATGCATGCATGCATGCATGAATGAATGAAAATAGTGCAGATTCAGCGCGAGCGGTCCAAATAAGAAACAAACAACACAAAGAAAACACATTAAACAGATTACGCAGGAAAAGAAAAAAAAAAAAAAAAAAACATGAAAGATAAAAAAGAGCTAGGGATATATAGGGTTTGTAAAAGATGATGTGTTTGTTTAATAATTTAATTATTACGTATCCACTCTCAAGGAGCCTTCTCCTTCTCCTCCTCCTCCTCTTCCTCCTCGTTGAACTCGTTGTTGAGGTCCGGCACCCGGTAGCCCTGCCCCTCCCGGCCGCCGTCCTCGGCCTCCTTGCGGGATTGCTCGGCCTCAGCAGGGGCCAGCGGCAGAGGAGAAGGAGGAGGGCGGTAGTGGGGGTGGAGATCGGCGAACTCGTCCTGGGCACGGAAGGTGGGTGGTGGGTGGGCCCCTTTCCAGCCCCTCTCCGGGTGGGACCTCATGTGGCCGAAGAGGGCCTTGGGGGACGTGAAGACCTTGCCGCACATTGAGCAGTTGCTGTTGACGGGGTTGGGGTTCGGGTTCGTGTCGTCCCGGGCCCTCTTCCGGGAGGCCAGGCTGCTGCCGCCCCCGATCCTCACCCCTGATCCCCCACCAGAAGACACGCCCCCTCCGACGATGGCTATGGCCGTGTGGACCCCTCCGGAGTGTGGTTCGGTGGGAGACGGCGGCGGGGGTGTCGGAACACGAGGCGGGGGGGAGGGGGAGGGGGGTGGGGGTATTATTGGCTGAGGCCGGGAGTAGGGGGAGAAGGCAGAGAGGCCCGGGATGCCCATCAAGGGAGGGGGCCACTGGCGGGGCAAAGACCTTGGCCTCGGGGCTGGGGTAGTTTGTTGAGAAGGGGAAGGGGAGCGGCTTTGTGCGTTCTTGTCGGGAGTGTTGGCCATGGCTAGCTTTTTCAACTGTAGGGAAATGGAGAGTGAGGAGAGGGCTGGTATTTATAGATGTCAACCAACTCCTTTGCCCCTCCTCTCTCTTTTTTTTTCTTATTATTATTATTATTATT